CATTCAAACAACTCTGTTCGAGCTGGAGAACCAGCAAATGAACGAAAGACGTTTTTCCGATGAATCAGTCATACTAATTCACTTGAAAACCACTAAAATGAATTATGAAATTCATATCCCTGCGATAAGTTAAGACTGAGCTATCTGAAGCTCATTCAGTGCTCTCCTCGCCATGAGGGAGCAACCTCTGCAATCTGGAACAGGACGAAAAATCGAAGAACCGCACGATGCATTACTGAGCCACGGCGATGGTCGCGAAGACCACCAGGAAATTACTGGTCGTGAAGGAATCTTGACGAAGAACCAAGTGTGGTTCGAAACGTAATAAAATCTATATGTGGAGCACTTACGTACGAAACATGAAGATCCTGAAACTAATCTCCATCCCCATGCAAAAAATTCAAATTGCATTTAGTAGTTCTGACCTTGGCAGCAAAACAAAGTTAGTCATCCAAAATTCGAAAGGAAAACTGTTGACCACTCTTGGTCACTGTTGGCCACTACTGCCACTCTTGACCCTACCGGTCATTGCTCGTCACCTTGAGAAGCAAGATCGCTGAGGATTTTGCTCTTGATTGAAAAGTGATAGCACACTCCCTGAATCCGAACTGAGTAGCTTAAATAAAAAGAGAAAATTCTATTTAAACAAATATACATTTGTAAACTTCCATTAAAAATCAGTGCCTGCATTCCTTGAAAACTTTCTTTGAATAATACCTGCTATATGCACAAACTCTCTCGGGCATCGAGGCACCGTTCCAAGACAAGAATAGTCATTCTCTTAACTACTTCATTAATTTAGTGTACTAGCATTTGGCAAACCTACCGTACTATGATCTCTTTTACACCAGCTCCAACTTCTTTTCCCCCAGCTATAGCCTTTAGGGCTAAGAAAGTTACTTGCAATCGAGGATGGTTCTACGTTCAGCTTCTTCACGGTGGCAGTCATATCAGTAGCGGCTTTTTCAACCATTACGCCGTCCTAGTTGCCCTGAAAGAAGTTAGGTGAAAACGGTAACATGGTAAACAGCGGCAGATGAATCAAAGCATGTTAAAAGATCTGAAAGTCAATAATACTTAATTCAGTTGAGTTATTGTGATCTTTAGAAAAGAATACGACATGTAAATTTGTAATTTTCGATTGCCAGTAATCGACTGAACAAATCTGAATCAATGGCCAGACTCTGTTAGTAATATGTAGACAAAGAAGGGAAGTTACTGCTGTAAGATACTTAATAATGAAATACCGAGTTTCTTTTGTTTCTTCTGTGGAGAAGTTGTACGAAGTAAAATTTACGGACCAGTACGAAACTTCTATTCATTGATTTATTCACATTTCTTAAATTTTCTGTTGGTCCACTAGTTGCTGTTGAATTTGCCGATGCTCGAAATGCCATTGAAATCATGGCGGCTTTTTCACTCTGTATGGACGCATAATGGCTAAGTAAGCGACGACACCTAGTGAATGCATTTTATTTGACAGGTGCAACAATAATAAAGAATTATCACATATCTGGAAATAATAAGCCAATGGAAATCCGATGAAGCCAACCATAATGATGCTTGTTCCTCACTTAATACATATGCTAATTCTCAACTAACATATTATGCCTCAGGACAATGCTCTCATCACAGTAACAGACCGACACTGAATCAACCACAGCATGGTATTTCTATGACAAGCTTAAATGGAATATTGCAGCAGTGACAGTATGGCACTAAAAATTTCGTTTGTGTGTTTGTGTCACTGTCGGGAAACGTAGGCAACCTTCATCAGTTCGTGATGTTTACATGGAATAATCAGAAATTATTCTTGTTTCCAGAGACTTCGGTGACAGATCACATTTCCATCACAATTTCCTTCTGTAGGGCATAGAGGAAAGCTACACCACGGTTGAAAACGACAATCGTATAGAGGAAAATGCGACCTTGAAAACTGTTTGCTTAGAAACGAGAGGTCGTTACTTGCTCTCAGTGAAGAAGTATGAATGGAATATAGCTTAGGCTTGCAAACCGTTCAGAAACGAGAAGCGTCGCAATCCACTATGGAAAGTTGAATGTTGTGAATAATAAAACAAGATCTATCTATAAATAGTTAGAGACACAAACAGGAATTAGGAATGCCATAACGTAAATGCAGATATGAGGCAACAAGAAGAGGCCATCGCCGTCTAAAATGGGTATTCTCAAAATTTTGTTCTAAGTAGCTGCAAATGGCCCATTGGAAGACGTAAAGGGAGAGTCAGAAACTTTTTGAAGCACGGTGAAGAAGAGCTGCGAGAAACAGAATTTGATAGTAAGTTCGGAGCAAAACCGGCTTCATTCAGTAGTGTGGATCGGAAAACGTGATTGTTGCTGTCGAAGATGCTGATAATGATGATAATGGTGATAATAATGCTTACGATGATTGATAATACCGCGTTTCACGTAGAAAAATGCA